AACACCTGCCCATTTACCTCCTCCCTCCCCAGTATCCAAGGGCCCAAACATACCTTCCAGGTGAAGCAACACTTCACCTGCAATTCCCAGAGTCTAGTCTACTGCATTTGCTGCTCACAATGTGGTGTCCTTTACATTGGGGAAACGAAGCGTAGACTTGGCGACCGCTTCGCAGAACATCTATGTCCTGCTTGCTAAAAAGACCCTGAACTAGCCGTTGCCTGCCACTTCAATGCACCACCCGGCTCCCTGGCCAACATCTCTGTCTCTGGCTTGCTAGTGTTCCAGTGAAGCCCAACGCAAGCTGGAGGAACACCTCATTTTCCGCTTGGGGACCCTACAGCCCTCCGGACTCAATATTGAGTTCAATAATTTCAGGGCCTAAACTCTCCCCTATCCCAGCCCCCCACCCCACACACCAGGCTTTGTTACCACATAGCCTGCCATTACACACCCCCTGTTGTTAGTCACTAACAGTCCTCATTAACAACTACTCACCCTCCCAGCCTGATCGTTAGCAACTCCTTTGTCTGTCCAACTGTCTTTCTCTCTCTTTGGGCCCTATCCTATCATTTACTCCCTACCCCACCCACCTTATTTTCTGCATATAAACTGACGTTTTCCCAGCCACTATCAGTTCTGAGGAAGGGTCACCGGACCCGAAACGTTAACTCTGTTTTCTCCTTCACAGATGTTGCCAGACTTGCTGAGCTTTTCCAGCAACTTTGTTTTTGTTCCTGATTTACAGCATCCACAGTTCTTTTGGTTTTTATTAAGAATTCGGAATATATGTCTTAGGCAACTGTACAAAGCACTGGAGAGACCACATCTGCAGTAATGTGGGCAGCTTTGGTCCACTTATTTAAGGAAATATATCAATTCATTGGAGTCATTTCACAGAAGATTAACTGGGATGATCCCTGGTTTGGAGGGGTTATCTTCTAAGCAAAGGCTAAACAGGTTGAGAATCTACTCAGCGATAGTAGGAACTGCCAATGCTGGAGTCTGAGATAACAAGGTGTAGAGCTGGATGAACACAGCAGGCCAGGCAGCATCAGAGGAGCAAGAAAGCTGATGTTTCGGGCCTGGACCCTTCTTCAGAAATGGGGGAGGGGAAGGGGACTCTGAAATAAAGAGAGAGAGGAGGAGGCGATGATGGAAGGTGGATAGAGGAGCAGATAGGTAGAGAGAATCTACTGACTGGATTTTGGAAGACTGAGAGGTGATCTCATTGAAACATATGGGATTCTTGAGGTATTTGACAAGGTAAATGCTCAGAGGATGTTTCCCATCACAGGAGCGTGCAGGACCAGATTCTTGATGAGTCGGGGAATCAAGGGTTAAGTTTTGGAGTCAAGTTTAAGGCAACACAGACTCAGGTAAGGGTTTCAGCAGCAAATGAGCTAGGGTGAGGTGGAAAGAAGGGAAGTTTTAGAGATTGAAATTTCTGGTATTTGTGATTGAGTAGATGTGAGGTCAGATGCTCATCTTGGGGTCAGATATGAGAGCAATATTGTAAAGAGTGTAGTTCAGTCTCAGCCAGTTCGAAGCAAGGGGGAGGGACTCAGAAGTAAGGGAAAGTAATTTAACCATCGCAAAGTTTTACTGGAGGAAACTTCAGCTAATCAAGTAGTGATAAGCAGCTTGATAATTGAGTAACAGTGGAGCAATGCATGGGGATGGTGGCGAGGCAGAGCTGAGCATTGTCAGCGTACATGTGAAAACAAACACGATTTTTTTGGACAATGTCACCCACTGACAGTATGCAGGTGAAAAACAGGAGGGGCCAAGAATAGATCTTTGACTGACATCAAATACATGGACTTTAGAGAGGAAAGGGAGAGTGGAGATGGAACAGGATTTTCCAACAACAGTGAGGTCAAATATTGTTTTAACAGAAACAGTGAGAAGGGTATAACAAGAAAAGAGAGACAGACAGAACAAGGAACAAGGAACAATATCTGTGAACTGGCTTGGGGGAGTGACAAGGAGGAAGAGGAGAAGAAGAGAGAGAGAGTTGAAATGTCTGTTGTTTATCAAGAATAGAGTAAAGGGTCAAGATGAGCTCTGAATAAGGCTTAACAAGGCACTGGAGAAAGATGCAAGTTTAGGACTAAAATGAGGAGCAACATGCGAGGCAGGTTGGCTTGGTGGGCTAGGGGAAGGGAGGGAAGCAGCACAGGCAGCTGATCGGATTGTCTCAGTATTAGTGACAAAGACACTCCATGTGCTCCTCATTCTTGTTGTTGGGGATTGGGGGAGGAGCATGGAGACAACAGGATGATGGACAGTGTTTTGCAAAGAAATAAAACCTGTGTTAGAGATATTTAAAAATGAGTCAACAAACCCAATGTACTTAACTTCTATCCAGAATATTAAAACGTACAACTGAAGTTCAGGTTTGAATCCCACCTCGGCAGATGGTGGAATCTGAACTCAAGAAAAAAATTAAGAATCTATTGATTGCTAGACACTGTCAATGGCAGAAAAAATATCTAATGTCCTCCAGGTAAAGACACCCGTCAACCTCACAGTGGCCCAGCAAGCCACTCAGTTGTATTAATCACTGCAAAGTCTCAACAAAGGAATGAAACTGGATGGATAACTTGGCAACTACCAAGGCACCAGAAAACACAACCAAAGAAGCACTATCAACTCTGCAAAGTCTTCCTTACTAACATCTGGGGGCTAGTGCCAAAATTTGGAGAACTGTCTCACAGACTAGTCAAGAAACAGCCTGATGTAGGTATACACATTGAATCATACCTTACAGATAATGACCCAGAAACCACCACCATCCCTACATGTGCCCTGTCCTGTCCTGCCGACAGGGCAGACCAGGCAGAGGTGGCGGCACAGGAATGATTTGCCCTGGGAGTACTCGACATTTTCCAGGCATCTGAAGTCAGTCTCATCGCTCCTGCTGATTACCACGTACCATGAATCAGTATTCCTCCATGTTGAAAAATACTTGGAGGAAGCACTGAGGGTGTAAATGGCACCAAATGTACTACGGGTACAGGATTTCAATGTCCACCATTAAGAGTAGCTTGGCAGTAGGATTACTGATCAAGTTGGTTAGGTCCTAAAGGACAAAGCTGCTCGGCTAGATCTGCAGCATGTGGTGAGGGAACCAACAAGAGAGAAAAGCATAGTCGGTCTCATCATCACAAATTTGCCAGCTGCAGATGCATCTGTCCATGACAGTATTGGTGACAGCAACCAACACACGGTCCTTGTGGAGACAAAGCCTTGCATTCATATTGAGAATACCCTCCACTGTATTGAGTGGCACTATCACCTTGTTAAATGGGACAGACGTGGAACAGATGTAGGAAATCAAAACAAGGCATCTATGAGGCTTTGTGCATCATCAACATCAGCAGAATTGTACTCCAGCACAATCTGTAATGTCATTGCCCAGCATATCACCCACTCAACCATTGCCATCAATACAGGGGATCAACCCTTGTTCAATGGATAGTACAAGAGGGAGCAGCACCAGGCATACTTAAAAATTAAGTGCCAACCTGGTAAAGCTACCAAAGACTACCTGCATGCCAAACAGCATAAGCAACAAGAGATAGAGCTTAGCAATCCTGCAAACAATGGACCAGATTTAAGCTCTGCAGTTCTGCTACACCCAGTCGTGAATGGTGATGGACAATTAAACAATTCACTAGAGGAGCCACCACAAAAAAAAAATCACCACCCTTACTGATGGAGGAGCCTAATACATCCATGCAAAAGCTAAGACTACAGCATGTGCAGCAATCTTCAGCCAGAAGTGCCAAGTGGATGATCCATCTTGGCCTTCTCCAGTGGTCCCCAACATTGCAGATGCCAGTCTTCAGCCAACTGGATTCACTTCACATTATATCAACAAATGGATGAATAGTGCAAAGGCTATGGGCCCTGCCAACATTCTGGTAATAGTACTGACCACTTGTGCTCCAGACCTTACCAACCGCCAAGCCAAGCTGTTCCAGTACTGCAACAGCACCGGCATTTACCGACAACGTGGAACATTGTTCAGGTATGTTTAGCACAAAACCACAAAGCAAATCCAACCTGGCCAATTTCCCATCCATCAGTCTACTCTTGATCACAAAAGTGATGAAAAGTATCATCAACAGTGCTATCCAGCAGCAGCTGCTCAGCGACACCCCGTTTGGATTCCGCAAGGACCACTCAGCTCCAGATATTGTTACAGACTTGATTCGCAAATTTACAAACACCGAATTCCAGAGGTTAAATGAGAGTGACCGTCCAGTCCTACACCTAGACCACCTAGTTCCAGTTCAGTGACATCACCCGACTCTACCCTAAGTCTCAGCTCATTTGCTGAAACTCTCATCCATGTCTATGTCACCTCTGGGCTTAACTAGCCAAAAACACTCCCAGCCGGCCTCCCACATTCAACACAACTGTAATCTCAAAAATATCTAAAACTCCGCCGCCCATGTGCTCACTTGTACCAAAACTTGTTAACCCATCAAAAGCCTCCAATGTATAAACAATGTTTTAAAATGCCCACACGTGATTTAATTCCTGGCTGTAATTATCCCTATCTCCCTGCACCACACAACCTTTGAGATGTCAACAACCGAATCTGTTTCAGATTCCAACAATACATCTATTTATTGCTTCACCATTATTAGTTGTTTCTACAGATGCCAAGGTAACACGGTCTGGAATTCCCACCCTAAATCCCTCAGGTCTGCTTTCCTCTTTTAAGACATTCCTGAAAACCTGCTTATTTGGCAATGCTTTTGGTCACCTGACCTCATATCTCCATCTGTGGCCTCATGTCAAAAGTTCCTCAATGGTATTTTTGTGAAATTATAAATATGATTTAAAAAAAACTGCTGTTGATTTTAGCATTCTTTGTCAACTTTTCACTAATTGCAGGGTGAATGACCTGTAACTTCTTAGCTAACCGCATTATGGAAGCACCGTCACCACACAAACTGCAGCAGTATATGAAAGTTAAACATCACCTTCTCCACAGGCATCAAGGATTTTGGCAATGCTCGCTGGTACCTGTGGAGGAAGAAACATAGTTAATGTTTCAGGGAGTGAAAATGGTGCAGAATTTTATGGCCAGAAATAGAATGGAAATGCGCTCTCTTGCTGGAAAAAGAATTCCTGACTGTAAAAGATAGTGTGGGAAAATGAATCTTGTAAGACAGCAGCAGCACAAGGTCAGTATAAAATTCATTTCCAAAAGGTCTTTGAAAGTAACAGTAAAATACTGAACAGGGCTAAAATGTACCCATTATTTGAGACTGAAGCAGTTGGGTATTGACAAAAAAAAAGTGTTAGCTGTTACGATTTCACATTCTGGGAAAGAAATCCAGAAGAAACAAACATGTTTCTTGGTTTGAATCTGATTTGCGCTAATCCTCCCCAGACACTCCCTGCCGGGAAGGCTACGCATGCGTTGCGCTGAAACCTACCCCCGCTACAAATTTAGCGACCGCGCATGTGTGCCGCGGATCATTTCCCCCAACAAAGATGGTGGCGATCAGTCGGGCCTAACCCCACCGTTCGGAGGCAGGGTCATTGGACCCGAAACGTTAACTCTGATTTTCCCTTCACAGATGCTGCCAGACCTGCTGAGCTTTTCCAGCAACTTCTGTTTTTGTTCCTGTTTTACAGCATCCGCAGTTCTTTTGGTTTGGCGTCTTCCCGGTTGCTATAAACACGGGACTGGGTGCTTCAAACTTGTGTTTTCCGACGTGCACCTAGTTTTTGTAAAACCTCTCAGCTCATATTAATTCCATTTCCCTCCCACCTTTACCTGTTCTGCAGGCAACCAAACCTCAGCCACACCGCAACGCGCAGATGATCACGTGACTTATTCTAGTTCACTCCGATTGGTTGCAAGACGGCAGCCCCGTCTTCCAGACCGCCCCGTCCTCCTATTGGTTCCGCGCTGACATCAATCACCCGGGCCTCAAAGCGAGCTGTTACATGGGCAGTCTTCCGGTTTTTGCTGCAGTTCATCGGCGCCAATGCGTGTTCATTCTGAGTTGGGAAGAAACATGTAATTCCTGATTCTCCGAATATGCGGCAATAACAAAAACTATTTGTATTGCATAGAACCTTTCACATTGTCACATCTTCTAAGGTGCTTCACGGATGATCGAAATGTCGATTAGAGAGATCGATTTTAAAATACATCTTAAAGATGGATAGAGAGGGTTAGGGAGGGAATTTCAGAGGCTTATATCCTCGGCAGCTCCAATCATGGAGTAATGTGGGTGGGGTGAGTCGGAAAGGGAACATAGAGAAGGGAATTGCAGAGCGCAGGGACTGCATAAGGTCTTAAGGACAGAGGAGGGTCCAATCTGTCAGTAATAGAGTATGGCACTGCAATGCGTCCATGCAAGTCATGACTACAGGAGATTTCTGCTGTTTTGAAAGAGTGATAGGTGTCGTATCTGTAGGCTTACAAAACGTCACCGATCCCCACCAAACAGGTCTGAGGTAGATTTGGGGCAATGATGAGATACTGCTGCAGGAAGGGGGACAATTCTAGTCTCCTGCTGCTATAGAAAAGACGTTAAACCTGAAAGGACACAGAATAGACGTACAAGGATGTTATCGGGGCTAAAGGGTTTGGAGCTATTGGGAGGAATGAATAGGCTAGGGCTATTTTCCCCTGCAGTACTGGAGATTGAGGGGTGACCTCAGGTTTACAAAATCACTGAGGGGCATAAAAAGAGGTGAATATTCCAGGTTTTTTCCCCCCAGGGTAGGGGAATCTGAAATTCAAGGGCATAGATTTAATATGGGAGGGCAAAAATATAGAAGGGACTGAAGGGGAAGCTTTTTCACCCAAAGGTTGGTGTGTGTATGGAATGAGCTGCCAGGGGAAGTGGTGGAGGCTAGTACAATTATAACATTTAAAAAGGCATTTGGGTGGGTATATGAATAGGAAGAGTTGAGAGGGAATGTGGGTGAAATGCTGGCAAATAGGACTAATTAATTTAAGATATCTGATTGGCTTGGACAAGGTGGACTAAAGGTTCTGTTTCCATGCTGTACAGCTCGATGACTCTATAACTGCTCCACATATGGCAAGCCCTCCATCACTGGGGTCATTTGTGTAAATTTCCAGTGCCAACACATCTTTCTGTAAATACTGGGCTCAAAACTGCTCACAATATTCCAAATACAGTCTGAACAGAGTCTTATACAACTGAGGCTGTAAATCTCTGCTCTTCTATTTCACCCTCTTGAAATGAATGCTAACATCCCATTTGGCTTCCAAACTGCCAAGTGAACTTACATTTTAACCTTAAGAGAATCTTGAACTCAGACTCCTAAGTCCCTTTATGCTTCAGATTTCCAAAGCCTTTACCCATTTAGAAAATGCATCTAGTCTTCCTGCCAAAATGCACTTTGTCACATTTTATTTCACCTGCCACGTCTTCGCCCAATGCCCCACAGTTCCTTCATCCAGATCATTAACGTATAACATGAATGGTCGTAGTCCCAACAATAACCTCTATGGATCACTTAGTCACTCATCGCCAAAGGATAAAGACCCATTTATCCCCTATCCCTGCCTTCTACAGTCAGCCAATCCTCTATCCATGCTAACATTTTGCCCCTAACGCCATAGGCTCCTATCTTATTTAGCAGCTTCTTCTATTGCACCTTGTCAAAGGCCTTCTGGAAATCCAAATAGGTGACATCCACTAGATTTTCTTTGTTTAATTTATTTGTTAATTCTTCAAAGAATTCTAACAAATTTGTAGGCATGATCTATCTTTGCTGAAGCCGTGCTAACTCATCCCTGTTTTACCATGCACTTCCAAATACTTCACTATGCCATCCTTAATCATGAACTCTAAAATCTTACTAGCAACTGAGGTCAGGCTAATCAGCCTGTCATTTCTCTCACTTCGTAAACAGAGGGATTATATCAGCAATTTTCTAGTTTTCTGGAACCATCCCTCACTTCAGTGATGCCTGAAAGATCACCACTAACGCCCCTGCAACCATCTCAGCTACCTCCTTCCAAATCCTAGACCCTCCTTCAGAAATAAAGTTCTGGTATGCTTCCACCATGAAGACGGATGTAAAGCCATGGTTTAGCTCATTTGGCATTTCTTTGTTTCCCATTATTACTTCTCCAGCCTCATTTTCCAGCGGTAGAACGTTTAGTCTTACCTCTTCGTATACCGAAAAATCTCTTTTGTGTTGTTCAGTTGTGTAAGTAGCTAGCTTATTCTCATATTTCATTTCCCTTTTTTTAAGTCGTCCTCTGCTGGCGTTTAAACTCTTCTGGTTTCTGACTGATCTTCACCATATTGCACGCATTTTCTTTTGTTTTCATTAGGTTCCTGACTTCCCTTGTTTTTCCTAATTAACCTGTTCAGAGATGTTATTACGCTCCCCTGCTACAGGTGGAAATTGAACTCAAGCCTCTCAGTCCAAGAGTAGGCACACTATCACTGCATCACAAGAGAGCGACCCTAACTTCTCTTGTTAAGAAGGGCTGCCTCGTTCTCCCTTTAATGCGTTTCCGGTGCAGAGCTGCTGAATAGCGCCTGAACCAAACTGAGCCAATGGAGGAAGAAGCGGAACTGGAGGGCAGAGCTGCGGCCGGTCCTTCGACCTGAGGGAGTGAGGGGCGAGGCTTGATGGGGAGTGAAAAGGAAACAGCGAAAGATTTTCCAAGATCCGATCGTTCCCGCTACATAGTAAAACATTAAGCCTCTTTAATAAATCAATGGGAGATTTTAAGAAATAGTTGAGATGCACATCACGAAACTTTACATATTTCCAGTTAATTTACAGAACTCGAGTAAGAAACTTCGTCACAAGTCTCCAGAACGATTGTTAATGGCGGTCCTTTCAGCCAACGTTGCTTGCATTTACGAATATTCGCTTTGCACTCAAAAAAACATGTTGAGACGCAAGCGGAGATAGTAAGAACTGCCGATGCTGGAGTCAGAGATAACAGTATGCAGCTGGAGGAACACAGCAGGCCAGGCAGTATCAAAGGAGCAGGAAAGCTGACGTTTCGGGTCGGGACGCCTTGTGAAAAAGGGACCCGATACGCAAGCGGATCTTGGTTTGTACGTGGGGCATGCGCAGTGTCATTTTGATCAGGACAGTGAGAGACTTTCTCCGGCGGCAGAAAGGGCAGGTACGAAACCGTTGTGTAGGAGCCTCATTGGGAGAAAGGAGCTGAGACACTTCACAAACACCTCCTGTAGGTCGCAAATTCCGAATTAGACCCTCCAGGCCCGTGTTAGGAGATCCTTGTTTGTCCAAGGAAGAAGCCCAGCTTTACGGCCGCCATTTTTTTCAAGGAAGGAGCGCGGGATTCAGGGGCGCCATCTTTATAAGGTAAAGATGCAGAAATGCGCATGCGCGACTGTTTGAGAATACTTCGATGAATGGCTCAACAAGAGTTGGTGTGAGTGAGCAGACACGCAGCAGAGAATGACGGGTGATCTCAGTTCCAGGGAAGGTGTTCTGATTGATGTCTACAGATAATAATGGAATGGATGAGAGTTTCAGAAGCAGATGAGCTGAGTCTGGGGCGAAGTCAGTGATGATATTGAGGTGGAAATCGGTGGTTTTACTGATGATAGGGACATGTGGTTTGGGAATTTCAGTTTTGGGTGAAATATGTCACCAAGGTCCTGAAAAGCCTGTTTCAGCGCTTACAGTTACAGTTCCCAAGGACAGAGATTCAGTTGGCGGCTGCTGAATGGAATTCATAACGGGGACTGAAGGCACTGACGTTCATCCTCCTAATAATTGATTAAAGCAAGACTCTGTTCCTCCAGTATTGGATGTCAAACAGGTGAGTACAATGCATCTTGGAGGGTAACTTGCCGGTAGTGGCATTTACATAGATTTGCTACCCTGAGTCTTTGAGCTGGTGAAAATCCTGTCAAATCTCTGGACAAGTTTAGATATATAGTGTCCCGCTTTTTGCCCCTTACCTCTCCGACTTCCTAACTATGTCTCTTTTTTTTCTCTCTCACTCTGCTTCATAAAGTTCCTACTGTCTTGTGCAGGTTCAGAGCAGACACCAGGCCCCTTCCCTGATAGCCTCAGTTCAGTTTCTAAGGCAATCCAGCAGCTTTCATGGTCACTTGTCCAAAATGCTAGCCCCACGTATTACTAGGTTTACTCGGTATAATTTCACAACCTGAACCTAGTCTTCGTGGCTTCTTTCTCATTCCATTTTTCTGTTTAAATCAATTAATAGGATATGCAAAGAGGAAGATTTGAAGTCAGGATACTGAAACCAAACACCATGATCTGATGGAGTCACCTAATTTATCACAACCAGACTATCAACAGATTTTAAACATAGAAGGAAAAAGCACCATTCACGGTGGCAAGAACAGATACACATGTTCTGTGTGCAGAAAAGGCTTCACACCAATCAACTGGCCTACAGAACCATAAATGCAGTTACATTAGGGAGAAACCATGGAAATGCAGGACTATAAGAAAGGATTCAGTTGCCACTCTGGGCTGAACATTCACCAATGTGTTCACATTAGGGAGAGGCCATTCATCTGCTCCCTTTTTGGGAGGGGATTCACTCAGTTATCCACCCTGCGGAAACACCAGCGAGTTCACACTGAGGAGAGACCCTTTTAAATATACAGACTGTGCGAAGTGCTGTAAAAATTCTAGTGAGCTGATATCCCATCAGCGTGTTCGCACTGAAGAGAGATGGTTCAGGTGCACTGACTGTGGCTTCAAGTGATCATCTCAACTCACTGTTCACCAGTGCATCCACACTGGGGAGAGGCCATTCACCTGCTCGGAACGTGAATTCGATTCACTCAGTCATCCCACCCAAGTCACACCAGCAGGTTCATACTGAGGTGAGAACTTTTAAATGTAAAGATTGTGGGAAATACTTCAAAAGCTGTCACTATCTGTAGCCCCATCAATGTGTTCACACTGAGGACAGACCTTTTCAATGTTCAGGGTATGGGAAGTACTTTAAAAGCTCCTGGGAGCTGATCGCCCATCACCGTGTTCACACTGACGAGAGACTGTTCAGATGCTCTCTCTATGGAAATGGGTTCAAGAGATCATCCCAACTCACTGTACACCAGCATCTTCACAGAGGTCATTCATCTGTTCTGAATGTGGGCAGGTATTCGTTTAGTTCTCCAGCCTGTTGACACACCAGCCAGTTCATTCTGGGGAGAGACCATTTAGTGGCACTTAGTGTGAGAAAGGATTTTGTGAGTCATCCCAGCTCATGGTACACCATTGAGTTCACACTGAGAAGAGACCCTTCAAGTGTCCAGACTGAGAGATTTTATAAAAGCTCCTGGGAGCTGAAGTTTCACCAATGTCTTCACACTAACAATAGACCATTCAGGTACTTTCTTTGTGGGTCTAGGTTCAGATAGTCATCTCGTCTCACTGTACACCAGCGCACTCACACCGGAGAGAGACCGTTCACCCACTCCAAGTGTGGGAAGGGTTTCACTCAGAAAATCCACCTCCTGACACACCAGTGAATTCACACCTTCTAAATGCACAAAATACAGAATGTGCTATGCAAGATCCTGGGATTTGGTACACATCAATGTGTTCACTCTAATGAGAGGCTTTTTAAATGTCCAGACTGACAGAAGTGTTTTTAAAAGCTCTGGGGAACTGATGCTACATCAATGGTGTTCACGCCGATGAGAGACCATTCAGATGCACTCACTGTTGGATTAGGTTCAGATGACCATCTCAACTCACTGTGTACCAGTGAGTTCACACTGGACAGTGGCCGTTCATCTGCACTGAATGTTGTAAAGGATTCACTCAGAAATCCCACCTCATGGTACACCTGCAGAGACGGCTGCGAGTCCATGGGTGATTTCAGGAGCTGTAATTTGCTGTTATTTACATTCAGGTCATAAACATGTTAAAATCTCCAGCCCAGCTTTAGGATATAAAACTATGGATAAAGATAATTATTTGGATTTTGCATTGAACACATAGTCTGCTGAATCTATTTTAACATCCAGAACAATTTCTTGTGAATATAGATCAGAAAAACAAATGACCCTGTAATACACATACTACACTGACAATGGGTAACTTCAATTTCCATACAGACTGGGTGAACCAAATCAGCATGAATGCTGTGGAGTGTCAATTTCTGCAGTTTGTACTGAAGCATTTAAGGTATCAGCTTCAGGTTGAGAATTTTGTAAAGAGAAGAGTAGTTAATAACCTTGCTGTTAAGGAGCCTCCGTTAAATAGTGACCATAATGTGGAATTTTAATCAAGTTTAAAAGTGCTATAGAGACAAAAATAGAATTTGCTGGAAAAGCTCAGCAGGTCTGGCAGTATCTATGGAGAGAAATCAGAGTTCATGTTTCATATCGAGTGACCCTTTGTCAGTTCTGAGGAGTCCTCACATCTATTTTTGTCTCTGATCTACAGCATCTGCAGTTCTTTCAGTTTTGGAAGTGATATAGTTCATTCTGGAATTACGGTCTCGTCAGAACAATGGAAACTATGGAATGGCAAGTTGTCTGTGATTGGCAAAAAACAGAAAATGATTTGAAAGTACACAGGTATTAGCAAGTATGTGAATAAGTATTGCATTGTTTACAACAATTATGCATTTGTTGAAGACAGAAATATGCAGCGAGAAAAAATAAATCAGCTATGGCTGACAAAAGGACTGATAGGTTACATCAGATCAAAGGATGTGGTTTGTAAGGTTGCAAGAAAAAGCGATGAACCAGGGGATTGGGAGTAATTTATAATCCAACAAAGGATGACCCAAAAACTGATGGAAGGAGAAAAAAGAAGATGTATAGAAGCTCACAGCAAATGTAAAGGTGGACTGTAAAAATTGCCTTGGTATGTGAAATGTAAAAGCTGGTTGGTTTGGCACCCCCAACTATCAACTTCAACATTCACTCCCTCATCACTGATGCACAGTTGAAGACGTATGTGCCATCTCCAAGATGCACAACAGTAATTCCTCCAAAACAACCTGCTGATGACTTTGAAAATTGAGAAAGACAGTGGATGCATGGGAACAACACTTAATGCAACTTCTCTCTCAAAGCATATGCACTGTGACTTTGAACAAAATCACCTTCTTTCAGGATCACTGGGTCAATAATATGGAACTCTGTTCCTAATATCACAGTGGGTGCTCCAATACCCTATGGACAGCAAACATTCAAGAAGGCAGCTCCCCACCACTTTCTACTGGGCAATTATGGTTTGGCAATAAATGCTAGCAGAGCCAGCAACACCCCCATCCCATGAATAAATAAAAATTATAGGAGCAATACTTCACTGAAATTGAGCATTTGTAAAGGATATTGCTGGGAAAATGGATTCAGTAGCTGTTTATGTTAATATCTTTCAAAATTGTCACATACAGACAGAGCCTGTTTTCTCTTTACTGCAATAAACTTGTGTTGTTTTCGTGAACGAACATTGGCAGCCTTATATGAATATGTCCAGTGACTAGCTATTATCTGAACTAAATTTCAAAAATAAAGTGTGTGATTTATCAAGCCAGGTTTCACTCTGAGATTTAACTTGTGCAGTATTACCATCAACTGGGATAATATTATTTGGAGAATGAGCAATGATTTCAATGAAACCTCAGAAATTCTTACAGTATGGATGTTGATTGGACTTCTCTCTTTGCTGTTGAGTCTAGAACCAGGAGACATAGTCTCTAAATAAAGGGTATGCCATTTAAGACCAGGATGAGGAGGAACTTTTCACTCAGATGGAATTCTGGACCCAGAGGTTCATGGAAGCTCAATCATTGAAGATGTTCAGTCATAAAGCAATAGATTTCTGAAGGTGAATGACATAATGAGAAATGGGAATACTGCAGGAAAGAAATGATCAGCTATGATCTAATGGAATGGTGGAGCAGGCTCAGGGGCCAAATGGTCCATTCCTGTTCCAAGTTGAAGAGCTTTCCCCATCTCCTCCGTCCTCACGGCTGAAAACAAGTGAGGAGCTAATGGACTTAGTCATTCGAGTGAGAGCACCTGATCAGTTACCTCTGCCGCATCCCTCCCTTCCCCGAGTTTACCACGCAAAACTGCCTCTGAAGTTCTTCTATGAACCTCAACTCGTATCATTCTCCATTTCTCTCCTATCTAAATACTGCCATGTCAATGCTCAACTTCTGATTGCCTGAACTTGATTCCTAGGGTGTCCTTCAAGGATCTATCTATGGTCCCTCAAATTTTTTCATCCACTGGGCAACATCAGCTGAAAACAGTTCCAGATGAAGAATACGTGTTAACATATGGCAAAGCAAATGAAAACCTGTGCATCCCAGCTACTCACGACATCAAATACCACCTGCCTCGCCAATGTCAGGGATTGTGGAACCCATATTGAACTATTTAATCACTTCAGGACCCACAACACTAGAATGAAAGAAAATCATCCTCAATCCCCAGTGACTGTTCAAGAGAAGGGTAGGATTTTAAAAAAGGCATCATTGTAAGTCCAAAAAAGTCATTCAGGTTACAGAGGGTGTGCGTGGAGTTGCTGGGAGTGGGTCTGGAATCACATCTGCAGAAACATGAGCAAATTCACAAGTGAATACAGGAGTTTGATCGGAGTTAACCAGCAACAACATCCATGCTGTTAGCTGTTTCCAAACTCTCAAAGATTTCATTTGTACATGTGGAGAAATGTGCCCCACGAAATGGAATGCCTCTTTCCTGCACCACTCCTTTAGCCTCTTGTTTACTTCTCTGCTTTTCTAATTTCAATGCCAATTTGAACGCAGCTCAGGTAATAATGCGGAGGTTAATCCTTGGAGATTGTGCTATGTAATTCCCAATAATCCCCAAACAGAATCTCTTCCCTACTGTTGCCATTGTTGTCGGTCCTCACATGGGCGACAACATTGGAATCCCAACCACCCCGACTCCAACATCCTTTCATCTGGTTCAAGATTTTCCTTACCTTGGAACCAGACAAATGACGCATCATGCCTCTTATCCCTGACCGTAATCACTGGCCAAATTTGAACGACTTAACCTGCTGTGTATGACTCTCTCATGGAACACAATATCCAGATAACTCTCCCCTTCCCTGAAGTCATGTAGTGTCTGAAGCTCAGACTCAACTCATCACAGCACACATTGGATAGAGACCATTCACCTGCTGCGTGTGTGGGAAGGGATTCATCAAATCTTTTAACGCACCAGCAGATTCATGTTTGGATTTTACTGTTATTGCTGGTGTTAAGCAGACTCAGGGTTGATCTTCTGACGATTGTTTCTTCTGAAGTTAACAACCCTATAACTGGCTGGAATTTAATTTTCTGGAGACGTTGTTGATTTATGAAGCTGCAGTGTCCCCTTTAAAAAGCACCATCTGTGACATTTTTCCATGATTTAACCGTTCTCAAAATGAATGCGTTAACAATAAAATATTGAGCTTTTTCTTCTACGCTGAATTCATCTTGTTGTAAAATGCCGAACACAGTGTCTGAAAGATTTCACTGATTACCATCTCCAATCAAAGACCAACCTTCCAGATGTCTGGGCCCTCATCAGGACATTGGGGAGCACAAGAGTGAGTGTATACATGTGCAAGAGGCTGTGTGTAAGAGTGCATGTGTGCACCATTGTGAGAGTGTGAGAGAGACTATGTGAGAGAGAATGCCTGAGAGAATGTATGTCAGACAGAGTGTCCAAGAGAGCACATGTGTACGACTATGTGAATCTGTGTTTGTGTGCATGTGCAAGAGGGTGTGTGTGCATGCCTAAGAGTGTCCATGTAAGAGTCTCTGAGAGTGTTTGTGTGCGAGAGAGTGAGTGTAAGTGTGTGTGTGTACAAGTGCGAGAGAGAGTATGTACAAGAGAATGTGTAAAAGCATGAGAGTATATGAGAGAGAGGCTGTTCTAGAGAGAGAGTGTTTGAGAGAGTTGTAGAGATATACAGCAAGGAAACACAAAACTTCTTCGGTCCAACTCGTCCATGCCGACCAGATATTCTATATAAATCTAGGCCCATTTGCCAGCATTTGGCCCATATCTCTCTCAACTCTTCCTATTCAAATATCCAGCCAGATGCCTTTTAAATGTTGTAATTTTACCAGCCTCCTCAACTTCCCCTGATAGCTCATTCCATTGACACACAACCCTCTATGTGAAAAAGTTGCCCATTAGGTCCCCTTTATAGCTTTACCCTCTCACCTTAAACCTATGCCCTCTAGTTTTGGACTCCCCATCCTAGGAAAAAGACCTTGCCCATTTACCCTAACCATGCCCCTCGTGATTTTATAAACCTTTGTAAGGTCATCCTCAGCCTCCAACACTCCAGGGAGGATAAGCCCAGTCTATTCAGCCTCTCCCTATAGCTCAAAACTTCCAACCCTGGCAACATCTTCATAAACCTTTCCAGTTTTGCAACATCCTTCCTATAGCACAGAGACCAGAATTTCATGCAATACTGAAAAACTGGCTGAACCAATGTCCTGTACAGCTGCAACATGACCTCCTAACTCCTATACTCAGTGCACTGAACAATAAAGGCAAACATACCAAATGCCTTCTTCACTATCCTATCTACCTGCAACTCCACTTTCAAGGAATTATGAACCTACACTCCAAGGTCTCTTTGTTCAGCAAACTCCCTAGGGCCTTACTGTTAAGTGTATAAGTCCTGCCCTGATTTGCCTTTCCAAAATGCAGGACCTCACATTCATCAAAAGTAAACACTATCTGCCACACCTCGGCCCATTGGTCCTTCTGATCAAGATCCCATTGTACTCTGAGGTAATCTTCACTGTCCACTACACCTTCAATTTTAGTGTCATCTGCAAACTTACTAAGCATTACCTTGTGTGTTCACATCCAATCGTTTATATAAATGACAAAACGCAGTGGACCCAGTACCAATCCTTGTGGCACACCGCTGGTCACAGGCCTCCAGTCTGAAAATCAACCCTCCACCACCACCTTCTGTCTTCTACCTTTAAGCCAGTTCTGTATCCAATTAGCTATTTCTCCCTGTATTCCATGTGATCTAACCTTGCTAACTAGTCTAGCTTGAGGAACCTTGTCGGACGCCTTACTGAAGTCAATATTGATCACATCCACTGCTGTGCCCTAATCTATTCCCTTTGTTACTTCTTGAGAAAACTCAGTCAAGTTAGGAGAGAGGACGCCTGAGAGAGAGGGCATCCAACAGAGAAAGTGTCCGTGAGAGAGAAAGAGCGTCTGCAAGAGAGTGTGTACAAGTGTGTGTGCATGAGAGGCTGTGCACAAGTATGTATATGAGAGAATATGTGAGTATGAGTCAATGTGCACGAGAGATTGTATGTGAAAGCATGTGCAAGAGTGTGTACAAGAGTGAGTGAGTGTTGCAAGAGACAGAGTGCGTATGAGAGAATGTAAGTGAGTGTCTGACAGGGAGTGTGAGAGACAGAGTGAAAGAGAGTGTATAAGAGAGGTTGTGCCCCTGCGAGATTTTGAATGTATGTGCAAGATTGTATAAGGGTGTGCAAGAGAGAGAGTGTGTGTGCGAATGTGTGTCTGAGTGTGTACGAGTGTGTGATTTTGGAGTGTGAGAGTGTGTGTGAGTGAGAGTGTATGTGGGAGCGTGTGCAAACGTGTGTGAATATAGAGTATGAGTGAGTGATAATGTGTGCGCAAGAGTGGATGAGTGTGAGAGTATGAAGTGTGAGTGAGTGAGAATGTGTGTGCAAGAGTGTGAATGAGAGACTGTGACAGTCGGTATTCCTGATTCTGAGTGTATGTGCAGATAGTGTGTTTGTGTGTGAGCAACAATGTATGTATGTGTAAGGTAGTGTGACTCTGTGTGACAGACTTTCTAGGTATGTGTGCAGTCATGATATGAAATTGTTTGTGTGTGCATTTGTCCGTAAAAATGTGAGCCATGTATTGTGAGTTACTTTGTGTACGTGTAAATATGTGTGCATATCAGTGTGGATGTCTGCATTGTCAAGTGTGAGAGTATGCATGTGTGTGAAGGAATGAATGTAGAGTGCAAGATAATGTGTGATTGAGTTTGAGGGACTGAGTAAGTTTAAAGGATCATTACTGGAGCAGGGACATAAACACGTGGTTTATAGACAGTCACATTATGGAGTTATGACATCGAATCATTGAAACAAACTGGGCATTCCGATGGACACACACACACACACCGGTATAGAACGTAGAACATTACAGCGCAGTACAGGCCCTTTGGCCCTCAATGTTGCGCCGACCTGTGAAACCAATCTGAAGCCCATCTAACCTAAACTATTCCATTATCATCCATATGTTTATCCAATGACCATTTAAATGCCCTTAAAGTGGGCGAGTCTACTATTTTTGCAGGCAGGGCATTCCACGCCCTTACTACTCTCTGAGTAAAGAACCTACCTCTGACATCTGTCTTATATCTATCACCCCTCAATTTAAAGCTATGTCCCCTCGTGCTAGCCATCACCATCCGAGGAAAAAGGTTCCCACTGTCCACCCTATCTAATCCTCTGATCATCTTGTATGTCTCT